AAAGCACTACCTACAAAACCATGGAACTGCAATGGGCACAAAGACAGCAGTTTTGATTCCTTTGCCAATATTTTCATGACATATATTGAAACAACAACTCTAAGCAAAACTGTCTTTAGAACAACAGTTTGAAAATGCCACATACACGATATCTTTTCCCTATGGGACATGAGTAAACCAGACATCGAAGCCTTCATTGAACAAGCAAGCTTACATCACCCAACTATTGAATTTCTTGGCCGAAACATTTGACACTGAGACTGCGTTTTTAGACACGGTTGTATACAAAGGCACAAGATTCAAGGAAAAATCTATCCTTGATGCAAAGACACATTTTAAACAAACGGAAAGCTGCTTGCACACACATTTCACCTCGTGTCACCCTCCAAATGTTAAAACAGAATTGCAATTTTCGGAAAATATCTGTTCGAAAGACGATTTGAGATCTAGAATTTTCGGAACATTTGTTATAAAATTTCTTGCTTGTCTGCCCCTCCTAGGATTTTCGAACATCTAAAAAAATGGTGTAATTGCCCATTCTTAATGGATTTTTACCCTAAAAAGGTCACCTAGAATTTTCGGGAGCCTTTTTTCTGGCTGAAATTTTCAAAAAGGTAAATTTTGATCCCTATAATTTTCCGATCACTAGACTTTCAGCTAGGAGATCCGAACAGATGAAAGATTTTTAGGGGATAAAAATATGCCTATATCTACTGTTTAAATACTAAAATACGTTTAACAATGCTATGTTTAAGTGGTTTTGAACTATATTCTCATTGTGTGCCCTCTATCTTTGATAGAAAACCTACTATCAGAAATAAAATTCACAACAGGGAGTCTAAACTCCTAAAACAAAACAACAAGAAGGAAAAAGAAATATTGTCATTCTTGACACAATACCAGCCCTCAGTGTCTACTATAAAGGAAGCTTGAATGAAAAAATGGAATCTTATACAAAACCAACTATAACTTCAATAAATTTTTAAAGAGCCACCAATCATTTCCTTACAAAAAAGGAAAATCGTTAAAGGACATGCTCGTTAGAGCCGAAAAAAAAAAGGTTAACAGAGGGTTCCACGCCCGTATAGATGTGCGGCCTGTCAACCTTCGTATTTTCTCGCACAACAGGTTTGTGAGTATTTTAGCAATAATTCCAGCTGGCTGTGTTTTATATAACAAGTGTAGTCAACTGTCTCGTTAGTAGTTAGTAAAAAATATGGCGACCCACCCCTTAAGGGTAGCTGAAAATTGCTCGACCCACCCCTTTCACAAGGCTCAAAACCTCATGACCCACCCCCTCTCTGCTCCGGCCCACCCCCGCCTATACTTTTTGACCAGTCCCTAATGACTCCCGTTAAGTCACGGAGCCATGTTGAATTACGTGAGCTGTCAACGAGTTAACTACGATTAAGATTAACATATTTGAAGAGTTCCAGTTCTGTCGAAGTGCATGATTTCTGCTTTGCTCTATAGAGTGTTTTCACTCAAGTGGCCAGCATCTATGCAAATTTATTGGAACAAAAGAAAGCGTTTGCATAAGAAAAGAGTTCAACTCCCAGAGGATTGGTTTGGGACACCAACATGGATTGTTTTGGGACACCAATGGCCGCCGTGATGTCATGTGAAAACACTGTGTAACGCACAAGTTACTAACGACCCATTATCTCTGGCATTGTTTGTGACGTTGGCCACGCAGCCCAGCGAAGTGCCCAGAAGTCGACTATCAAAACGCGAACACTGTCCTCAGCGCAAAAGACTTAAAAAAACACATGTTCGTGTTTCATTGTCACGCGTTCATGTCAATCAAAAAAAAAAAAAAACCGGAAGCGGAGGCACACGCAGTGTTCTACCGAGCTTCAGTCCCATTCCGCCTTCATTTATTCGAATTATCTCGTAGATTATCCGTCTATTTGTCCAGCGCAACGCCGCGCATTTGGTGAGAGTTAAAGACGAAGAACACCCTAAAGACCTTGGTAATAACGTCACATTAATAAGGATTTCAAATCTGCGCTCGCCAGTGTCACTGCGGCTATTATAATGTGACAATGTCTGGACACGGAAAGACCTTGCGGACCACAGGCGGCCCAAGCTCAGTGTGTGAGTTTAATCGTTAACACATGAAGTTTCATATTACGTAATTTAAAATGGCCGTGAATATAAAGGATTTGTATGGGAATTCAGGTAAAAGATTCAAATCGACAAATACTCGCTAGAATGTTCAATAAAATACAGCTTACCGTATTTACTTTTCTTGTTTTTGTTTGCTGTGTGGTTATTTTTCCGATCCATTGCGATTTAAGCGATTTCCTTTAACCCCGAGTGGAAGTAACGGTGATTTGTCCATTTTTTATGAGTGTTTTGATTTGTGTCTTCCACACTTCTTAACCATTGGTTACTGCTAGTTATCATCTTTATACATTTAACTAAATTTTTATGTAACTTACTCTGAGGAACTCAGACGAAGTGCAGCAACCATGTTATCCACGACTGACCGAACTACCTCTCTGTCAGCGACTCGATTTGGACGAGTCCACAGCATTCCGGAGTTTCTTGACATCTGCGTATCGTCCGGTGGGTAAACATTTGATTCAAACACCGTTGCCTTCCCTTCAAAGCGATCAACTTTATTACCTGGTACAAAACTACTCTTGTAATTGCAGGAAGGAAGAAAACTGGCTTTCGAAATGAAAGGCAGAGAATAAAACTTGACAAATTTGCTGCTGATGCGGCTGGATTCTTTATGGAACTCTTGCTTATATCGCAGCGAAAGCACATTGTGCAGTGCTACTTTTTTCTCTTGTATATGCGATACGTTCTGCAGAAATGAAGAGAGGTATTCTGAAGTGATGAGCCTAAAATCTTGAACTTTGTCAGATGTAGTCCAAAATACACGCACGAACCCTTTGCCAATGCCCTGTCAATCAATCAATCAATCAATCAATCAATTTATTTGCCCTTTTTTTACATACAATATTTAAATCACAGGGAGCCGATCGGAGCCCGAATAGGCTTTGGTAGATTGTGCTCGAAAAAAAAGCATATTATGCTTTTAGCAGTGCTCATATTTTTTAGAAATTATGCCAAAATTATGCTACTTTCTGAAAATTATGCTCTCTGTCACCGGAATTATGCTAATTAGATTTTACACTGAGTTTAAGGAAAATAAAGATCATCAGTAGCTTAACTCTCAATTTTGACTTTAATGAACATTCATATAGTCCACCTTCTAGTCTTACAGTCTTTAGCATCGCAAATACGCATGTGCGCACATTATCTCGCTTTTTTGTCACTTTTAACTTTTCTTTGCCTGCGGCATGTTTTTTGGAAGCCAAGTGGTTTTTGAGAATGCTCTTTTTAGAGCTCAATATCTCCTTACACCCACTGCAAAACAGTTTTCCACCTCGAAGACACAAATTTTCCTCTGGGAATTCTTCGATATCGATCACGAGGACTCATGTTCTTTGGATCTGAGTTACCTCTTTCCTTGTACTTTCCGGTATTACTTTTAGGAACACGTTCTCTAGAGATTAAAGCTCTCGGTAGGGCAGTGGAAGTGGTGGAAGTGGATGTACTCGAGGACGACGTTATCTCTGATCTGAGGCCTGAGGGGCCGAGCCGCCGAGCCATAAGCGTGGTGGCCTGAGTCTCGGTCTTACGCACAGGGTCACCGCTGCGGCCTGCCGGACCATATTTGACCATGGGCCTTAGCACAGACCTCAATAATTTCCAAAAACAATACAGAAATAAAGTACAAACTGAATTATTCTAGAGCTATGATGGGTTTTTTTGTTTTCAACGCATAAAAGCCCAGATTATGCTGGCAGTGCTAAACTGAAATAAAAGCTTAAAATAATGCTCGTTTTGCTGAATTATGCTTAAAATTAGGCTACAACCAGTTGCAAAAGTACTTGAGACACTGTACCATATTTTGGCTTAAATGGCCTGTCCATGATCTTGTGCTTGTGACCCCCCTCCACCCCTTTTCAAAGTTGCTAGGAATACAAGACCATGCTCATAACTTGGAGGAACAACTTTGAATTGGAGGGAGGAGGGGAGTCACTATTTTATCTCACAGACCTGTGACTAGCAGTGATTTGAAGCAAGACAGGTTGTTTTTTCGTGAGAGTGTCTCAACATTTTTGCAACTGGTTGTCTGAGTCCTTCATACCTCTATAGCCGTGGTGCCCGATTAATAAACAGGGTGAAACATGGTGCACTTTTTGCACCTAAGGAGGTGGTTATAAAAAATAGCATTTCATTTCCCTAGGTTTGCGTGTTTTAAAATGGCGAGACAAAAACGGCAGTTTTTTCCACTTTTGTTTTTGTGGTAATTTGCTCGAAACTGGGCTTTTAAAGGGAGCGCGTGGCAAAAGATGCCACACCATCTTGAGTAAGCTGCAACGAAAAGGGTTTTTTGTCCTAACACGCTACAAAAATACGAAAAATAATATATTTTCTTCGAACTCGAGTAAAAGACGTTTATTAATGAAAGGAAAGTGACCTAAGATGCCCCGCTAGATCAAGGAGATGGCTTTTTGTTGTTGATTCTGATAAGTACGTGGAAATGGTTCCTCTTTTATCGCCTGCCATTTACAGGAAAGAAAAGTTACGCTAAAAAGTAGCTGTTGTGGACTTTAGTTTACTTAACACAAGTTTGGATTTATGTTTACGTTTTGGTTGTCTTACAACTTGGTTTCGATTTTGAAGCCCGAGTGTGACTAGTGATCAGGTAACGTGAAAATTCACGCGCGTATTTCAGTAACATAGCCCCGAGAGCTCGCATATAACGTGGCCTTGTATTCTATACTTGGTAACAAAATGTATTTCTTTGCAAAAAAGAAGTCACTGTCCCCAAGAATAGTAATTTTCCACCATAGCAATGTCAGGAATTTACGTGCGTCAACGGTCTACACGGTCTACCATCATATCAGATAAATATAATGATATATCATATTTCTTACTGTTGCAGAATGGTAGACCGTGATTGATGGTAGACCGTCAGAAAATAGAAACTAACTTAGCACACAACTTTTTCTGCTCTCTAGCTCTAACGGACGTTAATAACTATGTTATTTTCACTGTAGTAGATGAAAAAAACTGAACGGTTTTACTTTTACAGCGGTGTTGAAAAATAACTCACGCGGTATACCGATTACATAACACCACTGCATATCAAATGTCATTGCGTTACAGATACAGGGGTGAAAATGGAAGTTTGGCAGCTTTATTCGCAACTGTAATATCTCTAATTACCAGGAAAAGGAAAAGTATGCTGTTAATATGCATTCACACTTCTCAGAGTTTAATCACCACGCCGGAACAGCCATGTCACGGTATATAATTAATAGCACATGCGTTACAACAAAATTGAGGCAAAATTTTAAAGTCACTACATTCTTAAGCGCTTTTTTATGCAGTTTTGCTATCAATGACAATGATGTGTCAGCTGGGAAAAGCAACAGAAAGTGCCATTCTATTCATTTATCTCGCTATAGTCTTCTCTTTGGGAAGTTGAGACGTGGAAATAGCTTTTTGAAGTAAAACGTAAATGAGACAACCAGTTGCAAAAGTACTTGAGACACTGTACCATATTTTGGCTTAAATGGCCTGTCCATGATCTTGTGCTTGTGACCCCCCTCCACCCCTTTTCAAAGTTGCTAGGAATACAAAACCATGCTCATAACTTGGAGGAACAACTTTGAATTGGGGGGAGGAGGGGAGTCACTATTTTATCTCACAGACCTGTGACTAGCAGTGATTTGAAGCAAGACAGGTTGTTTTTTCGTGAGAGTGTCTCAACATTTTTGCAACTAGTTGTAGCACAATCTACCAAAGCCTAAGCCCGAACGCTGTTTTAGCTAATAGAAAAATGAGGTGTTTTTACGCTGTATTAGCTAATAAAATAATAAGATGCATTTTCCTTTGTTCCTGTCACTGTCTGGAAGGGATTTGAATCCGATCAGAGACGGTTAACAGTTAACAACATTAGAAACGCGAGACGAAACTTGACCGTCTTATTTACGAAGCGCCAGACACCCCTCCCGTGTCTCCCTCGCGCGCACTCGTTCTCTCTTTCACCCACTACTTCCAAGCGCCTACTACGCAGGCTATTTGATAACCAGCAATGTTAACCGTCTCTGATCGGATTCAAATCCCTTCCAAAACGACTTAATATAAAGTATCGACGCTTCGCGCCGATACTTTATATTAGGGACCGTTAAGATCCCAGAACGGCGACGGCAGAGAAAACGTCGCTGAAAAAGTGAATTTGTGTTCTTTCAATCTTTAGCCTGCGTGGCAGGCGTTTGAAAGGGAAGGGAAAGGGAGTTTTAGGTGCGAGAGAAACGCGAGAGGCGCACGATGAGGGAGGGAGGGAAACGCCTGCCAGGAGACCATTGTTTTTCTCGTTTTTAACATCCACCAGGCGAATGTTAAAATCCTGATTGGTCCGTCTTCAAAACATGTCAATCACAGCCGTAATACCTTAATCCGATTGGCTGAAATCAACATCACGCTACTGAGTAACTTAATCGATCTTTCATTAATCATTTAAAAATATGTTGTTAGTGAGGCGTGATGAGATTTCTGTATGCCATTCATCGTTTTAGAACGATTAGAAACTGAAGGTATCTATTTCAGCTTGAAAGGAGAATAGAAGAAAGCAGTTAAAAGACTCGTATGAAGGAAAAGACCTGTCAGCTAGATGAGTTTCGCTGAGTGGTTTTGAGAAGTCTCGTCTTCCAACGGCTTGTTTTACTCACTAGAAGAGAGAGAGGAAAAATCATGCTGCCTGTGTGCTTGTTATCTGCTGTTTGACCTTAAACGGCTACCACGCAGGCTACGCTTATCAACGACCAGATTGTTAAAGACGAAGCGATCTATAATCCTAGGCGATTTTTGGTTTGAGGACTTCTTTTTGCTGGTTATAGACGTTATAAAGCCGCCAGGAACTTACCGTACTTCAGTGATAATATTGATTGCAGAATTAGCCTTATTGCAGATCCTTGAAGTTCCGTTCTTCTTTCCCAGCTACCAGCGTTCTTTTGTATGCTGCGCTGGATCCAGTTCGAGAGTCAGCAAAGTGTTTGTAATTAATTTCTCCGACGAACACTGCATGCAAGTTGGGAAGTCCAACGCGATACCTTCAGCAAAAACGTAGTTACTAAAACATGGAACGACCTAAAACCACCTAAAACCATCTACAACCACCTAAAACCACCTACATTCCAGGTGACTCCTTTAGATGAACCCTAGTGTCTTTCACACCCGTTTCCTGTGTCATCACGCAAGGCTAAACTCCTTGCGTCACGACACAGGAAACGGAGACCAGTAGGTGTAATCATTGTTAAAAATGTTATTTAAAAAAATCTATAATACAATGGATTCAGAAGAAAGCAAGTTAAGACGAGCCGAAATTAATAAAAATGGGTTGAAAAATTTTAATAGTGAATGATTGTATTTAAAGTAATTTACCCGGATTTTTATATACCTTTATTATGTTTTGGAACCCAACTTTCACCCCGGCCCTCTTCTTGGGAGTGATGGGATATGCGCGCTTCTTATTTTCGCTTTGCTCGTTGTAAATACGTCCCCACTATACTATCTGAGAGCCTGGCACAGGCTAGAGTAGCTGGAACTTTACGAGCTAAAACGGAACGAAAAATTTGGATCAAATATTCGGGTCTTCCCTCCCCGCCAAAGGACCTTACTGGTAAGAACGTTTTGATTCATTTTGCTGAAAAGAATTATCAAATATCATGATATGTCTTCTAATTCTTGCAACTGTAAACGGGTTAATAGCTGTATAAAATCAGGCTCTACAAGTGAGACACGTTCACACTAGACTAAAGGATTGTGCGGAACTACATACATTTGTGTGAAACTATTTCAGACATTTACACCCTGTTCACTGTTTAGATGGTTTTAGATTGTTTGCGGGTGGTTGTAGATGTTTTTGAGGTGGTTGTAGATGGTTGAAGGTGGTTGTTGAATTTTTTGAGGTGGTTGTAGGTGGTTTTAGGTGGTTGTAGGTGGTTTTAGGTCGTTCCATGTTTTAGTAACGTAAGATTTATGCTGGATTTTATATAACAAGCCACGCATGGTTGCGACTTTCTTCTTTCAACGGACGACCGCATTTACACTTTTTTAAATAGTACCTTCACTTCAGATTTCTTATTTTAGGAAAACAAAAGAAAAAAAGTATGTGAAATACGACTTTAAAAATTAAGTGCATCGCGGCCAGACTTATTTGACCGCTAGTCATTCACAGTTGCGTTATTTTGCATACATAATTAGTAGGCGGGATGGCGAAAACAATGGTTTCCTGGCAGTTCCCTCCTCCCCTTCCTCCTCGCGCGCCCCTCGCGTTTCCCTAGCGCCCAAAACCCCCTTTCCCTTCCCTTCCAAACGCCTGCAACGCAGGCTATTCAATCTTCATCGCGATTACCCCAAGTCACTAACTTTTTCGAATGTAGGCGAACCATGCTAAAGTTGAATTCCTAAGAACCATAGCCAAGAGCAGAAAGAGGGAGGAAATTTCGTCGTCGCTTGTGTACTTCCTCTGTACAACGTGAAATTAGGCATTTTCACGTCGTAGTCGTCATGAGTGACGAACGTCGCTGACGAACGTCGGTATATTAAGTCGTTCGCGTTCGTCGTTGACGAACGCGAACCATCAGTAACAAAGGAACAAAGGAAAATGCATCTTATTATTTTATTAGCTAACATAGCGTAAATATATCTAATTTTTTCTGTCAGCTAAAACAACGTTCGGGCTCCCTGTGACAATATTACACAGTCTTATAATTTTAAAAATATACTTGGGCAGGAACTCTCAGCAAACCCTGTAGGGCTTTTCGAGGAGAGCCCCTGGACAAGTTTTATACAAGTATGATTTTAATTTAAAATTACATGTCTGTGTTATAGATTACACGGATAAAGTATGTAGCGGCTACTCACATTTTGGTGTAAAACCTCGACGTAGTATTTCTTATTAGCTTGAAGATGGAGTGGCTCTTTGGATCTTTGTTCAGGATATTTATCTAACTCGTCCTTGCCCGTCCAAGCTATTGCGTTTTCAGTGAATACACGAGCAACTAGCCGTTTATTATAAGGGTTTTCGTCTGTACTTATCCACAACTCCGAAGTGTCGTCAGAGGCGATCGCGAAACGAAACAAACCATTGCTTTGTGGATGTAAATATCCAAATATTTTCTGACCGTAGTCCACGCTATCGTCTTCAATCTGAAAGTCGTTGATGAACTTCTCCTCATCAGGATATTTTGGAAAGAACAGTGACTTTTTTAAATATGTTACGTTCGAACCGCATTGCATTCGCCAAACGTGAACATTGAGAGCGTGTGGTACACGTGCTGCGACAGTATTCTCGTCCTCAGAGCCAACGCCACCGATCGTCCTTGGAAACGCAGAGAATTCGTCAACTGTATCGTCGCTATGTCTTCCCCGAAATGTAAAAAGTAAAAAAAACGAGATCGAGCCTGCAGCTAGTGCGACAATCAAACGCCTCACAGCTTTTTGAAATCTTCGGAATGTAAGAGTGCGTCGAGGCCACATAACTTGGATCGAATGTTGCGACCCCCGGCTTGTGATTCAGTCAGACAGCCAGCTGTCACAGGATGACACTGTAAACCAATAAACAAATACTCTCTTTACTGTTATTGATCATCGCCAAAAAACTCCAAGTTTTGAAAACAAACTCCTACTTTCGAAAAGAAATTCCAGTTTTTGATAACAAACACCTCAAAAACTCTAGTCGCTGCTCAGGTAGCCCAAGCTCGAAATATGAGCATCGGCGAGAATCGGCATTGTTGCGAAACATTCAAAACATAAGGATTTTTATGGGAAAAAAAACCATCGTTTCTGTGAAAGGTAAACCTTTATATAAAGAGAAAACCCTGTTAACGTAGTTTTCTGGACTATGCAAGGAATTCATAGTTAAGGAATTTGCGGTAGCCTCGTACACGCCCAACAGGAAACTCAAATAGTAGATAAACCTCAACTTTAATTAAGCAGTTTAGTTTTACCCGAGATCTGAATTGGACATGTTTCATGTGATTTACTGCTTACCTGTTACACTGTTTCATGGTTATCCCGACCAAGGAAAGTTAAGAAAACTCGCCATAGAAGTAAGTTTATGATCAATGTTATAATATTGTCAATCATTTTAGTTTTGGTTTTGTAGTTTCATAAGGATTTCATGAGTTTTTGGACATTGACGACCAGTGACCGCATGGCATAATTATTGTTAAAAGTTTATATCAGTTATTCCCGCTTCGCTCGTTTTAATTGTTTCGTTTATTACCAATTGATTTAGTTAATTAGAATACATTGTACATTTTAATTTCAGATCGAATAAATGTATCAGTTATACGATTGCGAGTATTCTTCGGTAGTGGATCGTCTTAGTTCTCTAACCCTTTACATAAAAACCCATAAAACGGCCATAAATCGACCCAGGAGAGACGTAACACACATTTTAAGTAAGGTAAGCTGTTTTTTATTGAAATCCTTTCATTTTCGTAAGTTACAGAAACGATAGGTTTTTTCCCATACAAATCCTTATATTTTGAATGTTATTTCGAGCTTGGGCCACCTGCGATAACTGTAGACTCTAGGAAGAATAAACAGATGTAAGAAGTAGATTCTCGTTGCCTTTTCGCGTAGCGAGTGAGTCGCCCGAATACGCTCACAAAAGGGAGCTTTATCAAACCGTGCACACGCTTATTTCATCCTAGATATTTCTAGAACAGACCTCTGTCCAGCAAAGGTAAACTTGAAACTGAATCCAACTCGAAAATCCAACTCGAATGCTTACTCGAAATACAACTTACAACGTAAATCCTTACCTCGGCAAATAGGTGTCTTCTGAAATGCCTACTAAGAAGAATCTTTTTAACCTTTTCCGTTGATATTTCTAAGAATAAACTAAACGACGAATTGAGATCCCCGGTTCGAAGTGCTCATTGTTCGCCAGCTATTGATCCGTTTTCAGTCAAATCCCACAGAACGTCACAGAAGAATAGTGGCTGTATCAGAATATCCTTCACTTAAACCGCTTTATAACCGGCAACAAAAAGCCAATTTAGTTGAATGTTAAGATACCTTTTAGTGGCTTACCCTGGTCTTACTTACCTTTTTCGTCTAGCTGTAGATATTTTTCTTTAGGAAAACAACTTTAATATCACGCCCAATATGCATATTGGAAGATGTGAACCATAATAGGGACCTTTAGCATCAGGTTTTTCTGGGAAATCCGCAAACCGCAAAATATCACGTGACCACGGCCTCGCGGTCGCGTTCAGTTTGCAGTTCACGTTTGAAAGGCAGGAAGAGCTTCCAGCGGTTAGTGATTTACAGAAACGTTTTTTGCCACTAAAAATTGTACAGCCTCGCGTTTAAAGGCACGAAGTAGCTTTCTATATCCGTTTCCGCTGTGTTTGTTGAATTTTTGAACTCGAATCAATGAAATATACCTGATTTTGGGCGATAAAAGTGATTCACTTCGACTTGGTGAAAAACAACATGGCGGCACAAAAAAATGAACGCCTGGGTAAAATTTGAAATCTCGGCAACGTGAACTGCAACGAGTATCTGCAAACTGCAGTTTGCGGTTTGCGGTTTAAAGGTCTCTAATAGAGAGATTAAGATTCGCGTTTACGCCAAACGGTAAACTTGAATTTGTACCACGTCAAGTTTTCCCCTTATTTTTCGGTTACTGTTTATCGCTTCTACACAAAAATTTAATACCTTTTATTAGCCGAGTTTTCGGTGCGAACTGTAAATTACTGTAAATTTAAATTATTACTGTAAATTTATGGTCCGCGCGGGCCATAAATTACAGGCTAATATGGCTTCTTCCGGGTGGGGGACCGGAAACAAGTGCAAGACGCGCGATTTGACAGTCATTTGACAGGCGTCAAAAAAGAAAGTTTTCATTGGCTCACGAAAACAATACACCACATAACAAAGGGTTTCCCGGAAAGTGAAAACAAATTCACCATGTTGAAAAAGTATATTCGGTCAAAACTCATCCTCGGAGACCCAGGGGCAGATAGTGGGGGCAAGGGAAAGACTAAACGGGCGGAAAAAAATGGCGCGAAGAAAAGTAAAGAACGGTGAGAAGCGCCCCTGGGGACAATGTCTTACTAGACCAGTTCCAAACGGTCGTCGCCGTTCCGAGCATTTTTTGTATCGTAACCTATCGTTCTGTTCTCGCTGCCTTTGCCTTTGTGGTTACTTAACCTCCATGTTGTGTTGTGTAATTCCCTCGGTCATGAGAGAAGGTAAGGAAGCAAATGAACTTGATCCCAAGAGAAGACAACTTGGCACACTACTCGCACGCTTTCGTGTCATTTCGCACACTCCCTCTTGTTTAGCGTGTCATTTTAGCGGGCCTGTGCATTCCCCTTATTCCTTGAAATCTCGTGGACGGTCACATTTGCTGAATCGGACACAAAATTCGATGATTCACTCCGCACGTGATTTGTTGTGCAAGTTTTGCTTTTAAGGTTTGATTGTCTTAGCAGATGCCTAATTGAGGTTTGAGGGTTAAATGATAACTCTATTTTTCTGGTTCTTCTTCAGAAGTAGCATATTTTAACCCTAATACAAAAGATGTCATTCCAGGCGTTTCACCGCAAATTCTTCAAGTGAAGGCGAGTGAATAATCTTTCTTTTGGGATGTGTGACAGTCTCTTTAGCAGTCTCTCGTGGGACAGAGCACATTGCATCAAGAGCAGGCTGGACAAAAGTCGCTGAGCAACGTTACTACGCGTTCGTTCTTCCCAACATCCTCCTCTCAAGAGGAAAGACCAGGTGCGTGCGAGGGGAGCGCGAGAGCCTCGCGAGGACGAAAAGAAGGATCAAAGAGATAATCCTTCCTCCACCTCCCCACACCTCGCGTTCTCATGCGCCTGATTTCAGTTTCACAACACCTACCTTGTAAGCTACAATCGTAACAAATTAGTTGAGACACTTTGCCTTTAATAGCCTGCGAAGCACAGACGCATTTCCGGTCGTCGCTTCTCTCCCTCCGAAAAATAGCGTCTGCGAACCCGAGCGACAAAACGATTTCCGTGACGTAAAACATTTTTAGCCAATCGCGGTTTAGCTCTTAAAATCAAGGAACTAACTCGCGAGACTTCTCGCAGGATCGTGCGCGATGGATATGTTTTCAAGTCGAAATTGAAAGGACGACGTGGCTTGTGTATAGCCGTCCTTTTTTCTCAGAACGACGCGTTTACGAAAGTTAATTTGCCAGGATTGTGGGACTGATTGACGAAATAAGTATCAAGAGGATTCATATCGAAGAAAAGATTAGAGGACATTTTTCATCTATTTGCCTACGGAGTCAATGATTTATCAGACGTAGTTGTTTTGATCATATTCGAAACGATAACTGTCCTAATGACAGTAGACGCATCATGCCGTTTGTTGCTTCTGTTCCTTTCTGGTTCCTGGCAGGAAAGTATGCCTTGGAGAACTCTTCGATAGTTTGTCGTGTGCCGTTTTAGATATTTTTTAGTAGATATCCTTTATCTTTGAAAGGTAGGACATGTGGTAATTGATTTCCCATGCGTGGTTGCTTCTTGGTTCAGATAGAACTTTGATCAGATCGAAAGCATTTTATATTTGCTCCGGTATATTTCTTTAAATACATGTTCTTTTCAAGGTTCTCATTTCCATAGTTTTTTGTGAGATGAGTAGAAGCGTCGTAGCTGAAATGTCATTTTGACTATGATCTATTTACTGCTGTAACTATTTATTTCACGCTGGGTCTGGCCCAGGTTTATAATATTTCAGATCATTGTGTTGTGGCGATACTAGAATTATTAACGAGCGATTGTTAGAGATTTCTGAATCAGTCAAGGATGTGTCTGTGTAATTGATTCACCACCTTTTGTCAGCGCTGGTTAAATTGAAATAAATAAGTCTGAGCGCGATGTCATTAAGCTATGTTGCTTTCCTTTCGCTGTAGCGATTATTTTGTCCAGGTTTTGTTTATGTCACGTACTACCGTATTTTATAAAGCGAAACCAAAGGCCCACATCACATACATAGCTTAAGAAGCAGTTGCTTCATAAAGAAGTCAGCATTCAACGTCGCAGGAAACCTTGTTATGGTCGTGAAATTCACGTTCCAAAGCGTATTTGGTAATTCTCTCCAAAATCCAAGACACTTCAGCGCGCGAGGTCGCGAGGAGTCACTCGAGCTGTATTCTATCCTTTGATCTGATTGGCCTACATCAAAACAAAAGGTTTTACGTCACGGAAATCGTTTTGTCGCTCGGGTTCGCAGACGCTATTTTTCGGAGG